AAATTTAAAAAAGGGGAGATAGCATTGACGATGACGACGAAGAAGTCGGCGACAAACAGCCACCTGACCCTGACCTTTGACCCACGTGGGGCTGGAGGGGGGGTTGGCGTCCACCGCGCACAACAGGGAGATGCTGGCGCCCTCTCGAACGGGGGTTCCCCACATCGGCCACCGTCTTAACCGGAAGGCGGGGGGGTCTGTCGGGGGAAAGGGAGAGATGATAAAAATAATTATTATTATATCAATAATAGGAGAAAAAGTTAAAGCATTCAAGGTCTGTCTGTTTGTGCAAATGTGATTAAAAAAAAAAAAAAAAAAAAAAAAAACAGAAGAGGAGAGGAATAATATTAATAATAATATAATAATAATAATAATATTAATAATAATAATAATAATAATAATAATATTAACAATAACGATGATAATGATAATGGTGATGATAAAAATAATAATGATAATAATAATAATAATAGTAATAATATAATAATAACAATAATAATAATATTATTATTATTAATAATAATAAAACATTAAGTACATGGCATACATGTACGTCTGTACGTATTTTCTAAAAAGAAAAAAAGTTAATTAAGGAGAGGAGCGCTAAAACAATAACAAGACAATAAAACAGAAGATACGCGTAAATGGGATCTAAAGAGGAAAGGAAAAGAATGGAGAAGTAATAGAAAAAACACAAAAAATATGGTAAACCTATCCGAGTAAAAGAGAAAAATCTATCTAAAAATGAAGTAAAGGAGAGATGAAAAAAACAATAAAAACAATAATAATAATAATATTGAACAAAAACCATAGTAAACCTACCCGGGCAATAGGAAAAATCTATCTAAAAATGTAGCAAAGGAAAGATGCAAAAATAAAGTAAAAAAGAAAATAAATGATAATAATATTCCAAAGAAAGGTAAAAACACACACAAAAAAAGTAAACCTATCCGGGTAATAGGGAAAAAAATATCTAAAAATGAATTAAATGAAAGAAACAGAAATAAAGTAAAAAAAATAATAATAATAATAATAAAATAAAATAAAATAAAATAAAATAAAATAATAATTAAAAGAAGTAAAAAAAAAAGTTTTAAAAAAGCAAAAAAAAAGTAAAAAAATAAATAAATAAAGTAAAAAAAAAGAAAAAATAAACAAAGTAAATAAAAGTTTGAAAAAAAGAAAACGAAAAAATAACGTTAAAAACGCGGAAGAACTCTCTGTCCGTTGAACTGTGATTCTTCCGTAATGGTTGGTTTCGATAAGAGGGTACCATTTTTTTTTTTTTTTTTTTTACCTTTTTTCTTTTCTTTCGGAATCAGAAGTGAGGGTCATTTAGAAAGGTTTCTTGGTCTATTTCTTGCCCTCATCTGTCTTCTCTTATCTCTGTTAGTTCCAGTTCATAGTCATTTCTCTTTTTTATAATTTCATTCTTCTCTCTCTCTCTCTCTCTCACGCACATACGCATACACACACACGCTCTCGCTCTCGCTCTCTCTCTCTCTCTCTCTCTCTCTCTCTCTCTCTTTCTCTCTCTCTCTCTCTCCTCCTCCCTCCTCCCTCTCCCTCTCCCTCTCCCTCTCCCTCTCCCTCTCCTCTCCCTCTCCCTCTCCTCTCCTCCCTCTCCCTCCCTCCCTCTCCTTCTCCTTCTCTTCTTCTCTCCTTCTCCTTCTCCTTCTCCTTCTCCTTCTCCTTCCTCTCTCCTCCTTCTCCTTCTCCTTCTCTCCTTCTCCTTCTCCTTCTCCTTCTCCTTCTCCTTCTCCTTCTCCTTCTCCTTCTCCTTCTCCTCTCCTTCTCCTTCTCCTCTGAAATTTCTTCCCTTCGTTCTCCCCTTCTCATCCGCTCCCTTTCTCTCTTTCTATTTCTTTTCCTTCCTCTTTCTCCCTTTCTCCATTTTTCTATCTCTATCCTTCTCTATTTTTCTTTCTTTGCCTTTTCCTACTTTCCTTTCCTCTCTTTCTCCCTCTCCCTCTTCCTTTTCTTCTCGCCCTCTTTCTGACAAGGGGAATGCCATGGAGAGAGTAGCAGTGCAGAAATAGTTTCAGAAGTTTTAACTTTTGCCTTGGGAGAGAGAGACAAAAAGA